GCTTCATGTGTTCTTGCCTATGGCCGCTGCCAGTTGCTAGTTTCCAGGTCTGGATCTGAGACACTATCTGTTAACACTGTATCAAAGTTGAGTGACTCTTGCTGGAAAGTAAATGCAAGTTTTCCACCCAGCATGTTTGAATGTTGAGAGCTCTGAATTAAAATGAAGCACTTGCCTTTTTAAGGGTTGAAAGGCGGTGCTTTAGCTGTCTGCGAAGAAACTGAAGGCTATGTGTGAGCATCTCAGATTCATGGATTTAAAGAAGTAATCTGATAAAAGCAGCAGTTATGTCTTACTCAAAAGCCATCCGTAGATCTCCTTTTCCAGAATGGAGATTGCTGTTTTAAATGGCCTGTAACTTCAACAACTTTATCGTTCTCTTCATCCTCTTTTCTTCTGCTGTTCATTATTATGTCCTCATTGTAAGCCCAAATGTCTCTGTCCCACAGAGCATCTCTTGCTAATATAAGAGATGCATAGTGTCAGATTTGTTACATTGTGTCAGGTCATTTACTTGGTATTGCTTATGAAACTGGCAAAATTAGTGTGAATTTACTGTGTTATGCCTCTTGCTATGCAGATGTAGGCCAGGCAAAGTGAAAGGAGTGGGAGTTCTGGGTGTCTCTTATTCCTTCTCCCTTGTCAGAGGTTCTTGTTGTCTCTACATCTCTCCAGAAAATGCAATAGAGCTAAATTAAAATGGATAATGTTTTTACTGCCATTGTGGTTGTCTTGTGCCTTTTTTTTTTTTTTTCTGCTTTATTCTGGTTAACTGTTCATCATCTCCAGAAGGGAAAGCCTTCACAAAGCTCCAGAAATGTCTGATGCTCACATGCTGTGTGAGCTGTGCCAGCACTAGCTCTACCCTTTCTTTAGTTTTCTGTCCCTGAATTCTGAGGCTGAGTAGTCACTGCCATAAAATACTGAAGGTCAGCGTTACATTGACAGTGGCTTTGCCACAGATTATTTAATTCAGTTCTGAGTGACGGCTGACAATGCTGCAGATTGGGTATGGCTCCTGGCCGGTTTTGCCTCCCTCTTTGTGTAGCAAAGTCAAATGATTCAGCTGGGTGCAGTCAGTAGCTGTCTTGAGGCATGGGTTTGCCAAGTATTAAAAAGGGGAGACTAGTTAATGAGGGCCAGACTGATGCTGATATGAGAGTGTGAAAAGATGCAGAAAATGAAACTACTATTTGGCGTGTGCATGCATCCCTAAGCAGCGAAGTGCCTGTAGAGATTTATTCCCATTTCACTGAATTCCTTGTTAGCGTTAGTCAGCAAAGGTCAAGGCATTCCTTGCCTGAGTTAACTGTAGCATTCTGTACTTCTGCTGAGGAGGCAGCGACAGAAATCTTCTAGTGATGTGCTGGTGTGTTGCACGTATTTGGGCTGGTTGTAATAACCGTGTTAGAATGATGGTTCATCACCTTGAGTAGTGGCCTGAGGTAGGCACGAACAGCACCTGCTAACGAACAGTGATTTCAGAGGTCTTATTATTCAAAACCATGTTGTTATTTTGCTATGCAGTCAATATTTGTATATTTTATTATTCATCAACAAGATGGCTACATCTCTTCTAGTGGCATGCTGTTAACGTGCCGAGCAAATGGCACAGTTGGTTTGGATACTGTGCTTTGTGGTATGGTGTTTTGTTCTGATGGATGGAGAAATGGGTGTGCACCCTGCACTCATTGCTACTGGCAAAGGCAAGAGCAAAGCACATTTTGCCCTTGAGTGGAAAGTGGTGACGTCTGTGGGAGGCCTTGTTGCAGGGGGCATTCTTGTCACAGTGCTGCACCTCTCTCAGTAAAGCTGTACCGGCTGCACGTGGCAGCTTGCCCTTCACCGCGGGCAGCTGCACTGCACCAGGGAACAGAGCTGTGGACTCCAGGTGATCTTCTGAGCAGCTTGGATGGAGGCAATTTGAAGGCAGAGATAATGACCTAAGAGAGAGAGCACTTGCTTTGATGTGCTTAGAGCCTGTACTTAGTGCTGTGAAGTTTTTTGTGGAACACTTCCTATGCCACCTCTGCTAAAGTCGTAGCCAGAGTTCTTCATGTTTGGTATCTGAAGGTCAATGCTTTCTCTTTAAAAGTCATCTTTGTAAATATCTGGGTAGTTTGCAAGTCTTTGTTTTATTGTTTCTTCATTGAACACAACCACCAAAAATGTTTTCCAAATTAAGACTCCTGTTTTTTATTTTTCTTGTTATTTTTGAGTCTGGTGGGGTTTTGGGTTTTTGGTTGGTTGGTTGATTTTTTTTTTTTTAACCATTTCCCTCATTTTCTACCTTCCCCTACCCCCAAAGACTGACAGTGGCTCCCTCACGCTTCTCAGTTCTCAGTTCCACCCTGATTAACTTTGAGTCTGGTTGGGAAAACATATTTTACTCTTTTTCTATTCCTGTTCTGTTGCAGATTTTGACTTGAACTATTTTTGGCATTGGAGCAAGTTTACAGACTACGTGCAGTGTGTCCTGACCTTCACTGGTGTGACCGGTTACATCACTTACCTCTGGCTCGACTCATCTCTCTTTGTGGAAACGCTGGGCTTCCTTGCAGTGTTCACCGAGGCCATGTTAGGCGTTCCCCAGCTCTACCGTAACTACGAGAACAGGTCTACAGAAGGAATGAGGTACGGTGTTTGTCTTACGTAAAACTAGTAAGTGTGTGCGTGTGCGTGTAGGTGAATCTTTGTGCCGCCTGGGAATACTTTTCTAGGCAGAGCCGTGTCATCTTTCTGAATTGTACCTGAAAATACAGCAGCTGCCAGAGGATTCAGTGGCAGCAGGAGCTGCTGCAGCACTGCTGAAGCTCCATTACACCTCTGAGGTCTCACCCATTCTCTGAGCCCAGCTTGACAGTTCCGAGGTGAAACACCTTTTAGTAAAATAAACATGTAAAAATACTGCTGTTGCCATTAGCAACATATTGTAGTTCAACTCAAGCTGTGCTATGCTGGTAATTAGAAATTAACTAAAGAGATCTTGCATATCAAAAGTAAGAGAAGGAAGAAAATATTTTGAACCTGCAGCAACTAACTCTGCCAGCGTAACTCACATATTAACTCATCACTTTTTCTCACATATCTACTCATCACTTTTCCGAAATACATTATTATGTATATAGCAAATGATACCAGGGGTTTTTTTAATGTGTAAAATCTTGTAACTGATGTTTAAAAAAGCTCAAATGACTGGGAAACCCCCTGTAAACAACTGTGGGACAGAAAACTTTAATCTTGTGCCCACTGTTGGGGTGTTAAATAGATTATCTTTTCATACTGTTTACTGGATATCTCAATCATAACACTAATATTTCCAAATTGCAAATGCAGTTCATAAAGCTTTTTAAGAGAGAACGTGTTCACTGTGATGTGCATCAGTGCGCTGGTCTATAGAAACAGCATAGCGGCAAATTCAGTTCACAGAGTACTCTGATCATTTGTGACTCTAACTGTCTTCTCTTTCATTGTTTTGAAATGACTTCTCTTTGCTTTTAAACTTGCTGGGAGAATTTTTACTTTGATCAAAACTAATAACCACTCCCCACCACCCCCAAAACCAAAGCAAGTCTGTCCTTTGTCTGTTGACATTGTTCCTTTTACATGTTTGGCTTGGAGACACCTCTACTAGCTACTCTAAGTTCTTTGCTAGCTTGAAATGTTGTTGAGGGGATGTTCAGAAACTTGCTTTGATGCGTAAGGCATTTTTTGATTTGGAGCCCCTTTGGTACAGAGTGAGTCAGGATTTACTTCCAAAATATTGGGGTATTTTGCGTGCAAACGCTGCCTTGGTAAATTCTGTACCTGTGATATCCAGAAGGCAATTTACCTACTAGACTGTCTTTATGCTCTGGTTTGACTTTTCTCTTTATGTTTTTTGTCTGTGAATCATAATGTCATAATGCCACATGCTGATAGCTGCTATCAGATAGTGGTTTGCTTTTCCTTAGCTCCTCTCTGAGGATCTGAGCTTCAGTTTTCCAATTTCCTGTATATGCTATTTAGCAAAAGGAGAAAAAACCCCCTTTGTGCTTCACAACAATACTTTATAAAGCATTAAGCATGGGATTGCAGAATTCTCATCTAAAACTGCTCGGCAAGAGAGTGCTGTGTTTAGTCAAGAGGAAGTAGCATAAAAGCTCTTGTTCCCTTGCCGTCAAACAGAACCAGGTCCAGCAATAGCCACCCTCCTTATGGGCTGTGCCCACAGGTTTTCCCAAATGCATTGCCCATTCTGCTCCTACTCTTGAAAGCAGTACTGTGGTGGCATTGGACATTGATGCGTCTGGGGACCAAAGAGACCATACAGTTTACGCTGCTTTACTGCAGCTGGCGTATGTTCATGCAAATGCACAAGTTAGTATTCTTTCATTTTTTCAGGTTGTATTGCAGTTTTATAGATGTTGCAGCTACCACGTATACTTTCTAGCACCATGCAATCGTGAGTTGACTTGATGGTCTCTAAGCATCACCAGGCTGTTCCTACTGTGAGAGCGACTTCTGCTAGTGTCTTGCCTTCTCTTGAAGGAGCTGTTGGAAATAGTTCATCTGAACTTCCCTTCCTGTGCCTGCTTCTCTAAAGGCGCGTGAGAGGAGAGACCCCAGTCCTGGAAGCACGGAAGGGAGCGTGTAACAGTGCAGCCAGGCTAACTCATGGGACAGAGCTGGTGAACTCGCATGGGTACTTACCACACGGGGGCTAGTTGATGCCCACTGCTCTGTGCAGTTATAATAACAAGCATGTGGATGGTTACGCTATCAGCAGCAATGGCACTGGTGATCCTTTGCCCATCAGCTGCCTGCCAGATATGGTCTTCGCAAGCCTCAGCAGCAAAGTAAACCAGATGAGTTTCAAGTGTCTTTGTGGCTTTAAGTTTACTGGGGAGAGCCATGAGAACTAAGCTGTTCTGTTTAGTGACGTTTTGGACAATTATCACACCCTAATTGGAGGTGGTAAGTTCTTAAGCCACAGGTGGTTCTGTCACCTGTGGTGCATGAGTGGAGCCCGTGTCCCTGATAAACATCACAGTCTTTACTTCTGCCAGAGAAGGGGTTGTTTGGAGGTCCTCACAGCTAGCTGAGAAGAGCAGCGACATGCGTCTGTCTCTGAATTGGGGTCAAATGCAACACAGCACCTGATAAGTCTATTTCTACTTTAGCAAATAATTCCTTTCCTTAAATGTAAACTGACAAACTAGAAATGGAGAATAAGGTTAATAAGAATATGTGGCCATGTCTGATCAGGATATCCTGCCAGACTCCTCAGACGTTGTATTGTTTCTGAAAAAAAGGCGGCAAACAGATAACCCCAGAGCCTGCCCACACCAATCACCCCTTTCTGTTTAAATAAGAAGTTGAGGACATCTCATGCTTGAGGTAGCAGTCATTTCCTGATAAACAAGCTTCGAGACCAGAGGTAAATGGGACAGGTGGCTGTGGTGGCAGGCAGGGATACCCTTTGGGAGTCTGTTGTGAAAAGGCTCCCATCATCTTGCCTCTGTATTTCAGTCTGTTACTGCCTGAAAAGTCCCCTGCTGAGAATGTGCTCAGTGTCTGAGGTGAATGTCCAGAGGACATCTGCCCTGAGTCAGTTACGTTTATTGTGACTGGACATGACTGGAGTGAAGGAATCAGTTCTGTGCGTTGTAGTGCTCCTGAGAATGAGTCTTCCATATTTCTATTTCTCTGATATTTCTATTCTGCTGGATAGAGCTCCTCACTTCTTATTTTTATTTATATCTTATTTTCTCCTTATTTCTCTCATTTTCCTTCTTTTTGTAGAAATATCACTACTAGGTCCTGTAGTTTCCTCCTACAAAGCAGAGGCCAAAGGAGAAGTTGGAATGAGATGGAAACAATAAAAGCAGAAGGGAGATGGGTGCTGAGTAACAGCTTTCATGGAGGGAAGATAGTGTAGCATGTCCTGGTGGGCCGATAAGAGTGTAAATTTTCCATGATTAAGTAAACAGAACTAAGCCATTCCAAGGAACAGAAATTTTCATGATGTGCTCTTTGACAACTCACCTGATTGCTTTTGGAATAAATACTTTATAGAAACCTAGAATTCTGTTCAAGTGTTCAAGTACTTTTGAATAGTTGCAAACCTAAATAGCAAAGTCATAGTTCTATTAATTATGGTACTAACCTTGACCGAAGTGCTTTTTAAATGAATTGTGTTAATACCTATCAAGGAAAGAATCACTTAATCTCCATTCAGTTCAAGAACTACATCAGTTCCGTCCAGTCAACTAGTAAAAGACTAATTTAATGACATTAATTGTTATTGGGATGGATTAAAATCATGAGTGTGATCATGTTTGCGTCGGTTAGGAAAAGGCGGAAAGCAACCTCAAAATGTAAGAGCTTTGGAATATAGGAGGTATCCTGTTACATGGGAAAAAAAGGCATTATGAGGTTAACAGATTGCTCATCACTTGTAAACTTTTTATATTATGTGGTAAAATATTTCAAGATCTTGACAGCAAAAAAAAAACCCCCCACCATCTTCCAGGAGGCAGAGATGCTGACTCTGCTACAGTTGGGATCCTCATATTACTAACTGCTTTTGCTTGTTACAAAAACCATACAGACAAGAACTTCTCTGGCATTTATCTTTATGTCCCCGCTCCTTCTAAGATACTTGCCTCCCAGTTGCTTTCCCCTTCTAATAAACTGCAGTCATGAGAAAAGGGAGTGTTCAACGTGTGACAGTGGAGATGGCGGGAAGGTTGGCTCTGGATCTGGCTGCTGCACGCAGAGGTGGGGACCTGCTGGTCAGGTCATTGGGAGAATTGCATCCTTATGGGGACAGCAGCTTTTGTGGAGCTCCTGCAGGGGGGAAATGTGTGCTTTTGCGCAAGGGTGGGGAAAACCGTATCTCTGTGGGGGGGCACGGGCTCACGCAGGCACTGCTGTTATTATGTGCTCATCATAACCCCATCAGGCCTCCCGCCACCAGAGGACGAGAGCGGAGGGTGTTCGTCTGTACATCTATGACAAAGCTGTAGGTGTGCTGTCCTACCCAAAGATGTGTTAACCCTGGGACTGCGCAGAGGTGGGTTTGCTCCGGAGCAGTCTGTTGTATTGCACTCCTGTCTGCTGCCCTGCTCTGCTCTGCAAGACCAAGAAAGAGATCTGGCAGTAGGACTGAGCTGGGCTGGCTCTTCAAGCCATCAAGGGTTAGACTGGAAGCACGTGGGTCCAGCAAGCAAGGTGCTCTTGCAGCAATGGTGGAGCTTCTGGTGTGCACCATCCCCTGGCTGCACGCTGGGCACGAGGCAGCACCTGCACGCCCGGCTGAGGGCCACATGCGCAGCTGCAGGGTCCCTGCCCAGAACCAGGGACGGGCTGTGTTGGCCCTCTGTGAGCTGTTTCCCAGGTCTCTCTTCTAGCCTGCGGCCAGCTTTCAGACTGCTCGAACGGAGCCTTCTTTCTGCACATCTTTGACTGTCGCGTTTGGCTGACATTGGGTCAAAGGCTCAACTGGGCCACCCAGAGACAGCCAGCACAGTTACTCTGCTTATGCCTTGATACGAGCCTGTCTTTAGAAATCTGTCCTGAAAAGGCTGACTGAGGAAAATCTCCGTATTGCATTCAATCTGATTATTGTGTGACAAAATAAAGAAAATATT